TCCCCCGTAGGTTTCGAAGGGAGCTCAGCCCTGTCCACACTTCACTTTCACACTTTTAGCCTCCAGAACTGTGGTTATAAGCGAAGTGTTTTGGGGTGCTTTGTTGTGGGGGCCCCAGGAAGCTAACACAGTACTCAGTAACTGCCTGTGGAATTTGCGGGTCTTCATGTGCAGTATGCCTAGTGCTGTCCCCCAGCATTCACACTTGGATAGTCCAGCCCCTGGGTTGTTTTTTTCCTAACCTCTGGATTTTTTTTACTTGTTTTCTGCTGAAAGCTTTCTCCCTTACAGATCAAAGGGAGATCATTGATTATTTTGTGCTTCTTTATTATAGAAACCTTTGCTTGCTTGCTGTAGGAAAACGTTTTTACATGTACACATTGAACAGAGTTGAGATTGTTGCCGTCAAGTGCTTGCATGTCCCTAACCCGCAGCAGCAGCAGCAGCAGCAGCGACTGACTCACTTTGCTTTAGTGCCAGTTGCTTCCTGGTTCTGAGAGGAAGCAGGAGAGGTCATTGCTCTCTTCTGTCTTCTCCTTTCAGCTGGCAAGAAACAGAACCTAGTCAAAGTGGCCTTTAAAACAAGGAATGTGCATTCTTGCCAGATGGAAGTGCCAGGCCCACAGGAAGAGCAGGTTTGTGGTGGTGGCTAAGAGAGGTCACTGGGACTCAGGCTCGTCTTATCCTCTATCTCCAGGGTGAGCGTCACCCTAACGTAGGTGTCCCATGGCCGTAAGGTGTGTGACAGCAGCAGCTGGGCACCTGCACCCTTGTTCATGGCCTGTGGGGCACTCTTGGATGTGTTTCTCTAAATATCAGAAGAACCTCCCCAAGAGGCCACCCCGACACCCTTCTCTCCATGTCTTTGTCCCAAACCAGCCACTGCCAGAGGGGATTAAGTTAGCTTCATGGGCTCAGACTAACCATCTGAAGATGAATGGGTGCTGGAGAGTCAACCACCTGACCCTCTACAAACTCCATATTCATAACTCCTACCCTTTTTTGGCAAGCAGAATAATGGTGTCCCAAAGATGTCCATCTCCTAATCCCCAGAACCTATGACAATATTACCGTTCCTGGCAAACGAGAACTCTGTAGTGTGGTTCATTTAAGGGTCTTGAGGCAGGGAGGTTATCCTGGATGATACAGGCAGATTCTTAAAAGAAAGAGGCAGGAGAATCAGCGTCAGAGAGAGATAGAAGGACAGAGGCAGAGACCACTGAGAGGAAAGAGGCTGCACCTGTGACTTTGAAGATGGAAGAAGGGGCCGCAAGCCAAGGAGTGCAGATGACCTCTAGAAGCTGGAAAAGATGGGAAACAGATTTTCCCCTAGAGCCTCCAGGAGGAATACAGCCCCCACTAGTACCTTAAACTTAGCCTGGTGAAACTGATTCTGAACTTCCAACTTCAGAACTGTCAGATAGTAAACTTATGTTATTTTAAGCCACTAAGTGTATGGTACTTTAGCACTAAGAGGAAACTAATATGGTGTTGTTTCTCTGGCCTACCTTGGATCTATATAGACTTTTCCTAAGATTAAGCATCTTTATTTCTTTTGAATCTTTTATAGTATGCATAGGAGATACACAAACATTTATGGATTAAACAAAAGACAAATCCAGTCTTGGGTCCTCCTCCAGGTTGGGTCAGCCTGGTTATTTGCTCTCAAAATGGCAAATGTTGGTTCCTTCCTTCACCACTGGTGTTGGGTGCTGGGAATACAGAAGTGAAAGTTTTCCTCACTCATAGCTGCTCAGGGTGCCTTAGCCAGCCATTTGAGTCCATAAGTATTTTCAATGTCAAATTAGAGCTCTTCCAGATGTCTGCTCTGTCTTTGTAGCTCAAGCCAGTTTCCTCTGGAGCTTATTCAAACCTGCCAATTTTTTTGTAAGCCCTAGCAACAGTTAGATGTGGGTAAGCACTTCCCCAGATAGGTCTATTTTTAGGATGCCCCATGTTTGTGAGATCAGCAGTAATTCTGGCTGAGTCCCCGGGTCCACAGAGGCTGTTATCTGCCTCTTGCCCTCATACCAGTTGGACAGAGACACTGCTATTTGGAAGTTTTCTTTGTGGTTCTTTATTTCCTCTCCTCTGTGAGCTTCCTGTTCTGCAGAGGCACAGTGGTGGAGCGCATACATCACGCTTGGAAACTTTTCGCTATTGTACCGTAGTCCAGCCATTTCTGAGAACCTCGCGCTTTTTCTAGGGGTGATAAATGACCAGTGGCGATCATTGGAAAATATCTGGAAAGGTAGCAGAAATAATGGGGCCGAGAAATGGAGTAGGGGACTGACTTTTGAGGTGATCATTGTCACCTCAAACGGATCCTTATTGGGTCATTTCAACCTCACACTCCTGTCCTGAGGAAATTGAGGCCTAGGTTATCCGTGTAACCTTGGACAAATCACTCAAGACATTTTTCCTGTCTATGACATGGAGGTGATCACAGTACCAACACAGCTGGGAGTGTTGTGAGGATTCAGTGAGTGAACGTGTGCCAAGAAATGCCCGTGTGCCCTGCACATCCCCTGTACCAGCGGCTCCCTTCTCTGCCCCTAAGCATTGTTCTCCAGCACTTTAGTGACACTTGCTGTTCTATCTCAGGCCCGTGTTCTACGGTCGATTTAACCAGAGCCCTTTAACGGGTTTTGTTTCTCGTTTTCCAGTGTTGTAAACAACATTTGATAACTACCCTCATAGGTAAGGACTTGTGATCATCTTCAGTTCTCTCCTCAGGTTAAATGTCTGGGATTAGAATTGCTGGGTCAAAGAGGGTACATATTTTTAAGGCTTTTCTTAATAGGCGCTACCAGATTCTCCTCCAGGAAAGTACTAGTTTACACGCCTCCCAGCAGTGAATGTGTATACCAATTTCCATGTGTGGCCAGGTTATTAACTTTTAATCAAATGAAGGCCCAGGAAAAATAGGAGATATTTCCCTAAGGATAAAGCGTTCCTCGTTCTTGCTTTATAAGCAATAAAAGCTTAAGAGAACTTGGAGGGCGCCCAGAAGGCAAGTAGCATGTGTGACAGCAGCGCCCTCTACTGGCTCTCTCTGGTTGAGTGTGAGCCGTGCTAGACAGTGATGCTGAGATGGTTGCAGTTATCCGTCCCATGAACCTTGGGGATAGGAACCAGGAGCCACAGGACAACATTTTAAAAGGACGTCTGACCATCTAAAAAGTCAGTAATATTTAGTTCTTGATCATATTCTTTTACAACAGTGGTTCTGTACAGGGGGTGATTTTGCCTTCCAGAGAACACTTGATAGTTAGCCGGAGATGCTTTTGGGTGTTACAAATCTGGGGGTTTGGCTCGGCGCCTGTGGCTCAAGTGGCTAAGGCGCCAGCCACATACACCTAAGGTGGCAGCTTCAAATCTAGCCTGGGCCAAACAACAATGACGGCTGCAACCAAAAAATAGCTGGGCGTTGTGGCGGGCACCTGTGGTCCCAGCTACTTGGGAGGCTGAGGCAGGAGACTCGCTTGAGCCCAAGAGTTGGAGGTTGCTGTGAGCTGTGATCTAATCTACTGTTAGATTCTTACAGATGGAGGCCAGGGATGTCGCTAAGCGTGTTCCAATCACAGGCCAGCCTGACCGCAGCACTCATCAGCTCAGGACGTCCATAGTGTTAAGGTTGAGAAACCGGGAAGAATCGTCCCGAGAAGGTTTCTCTTTTCAGACTAAAATTAAGTATAAAAATATTAATCTGTAACATACAGTGTGCTGTGATGATTATTTGGTTGTAGAAACATGTTGGTTTTTCAAAATAAAATGGAACAGGTAGAAATGAAACAGTAAATGGGCACGTCCAGAAGAGAGGCCGGAGGAAAACCCAGCCCGTGAGAATGTCACAGGGACCAATAGGAGAGGGATTTTTTTTTTTTTTTTCTGTTAGCTTGACTTGGTTAAACCTGCCACAGATTCCTGTGGTTTTCCCTTAAAGGCCTTCTCTGGTAAAAATAGTACTTTATTTGACTCTCTTCCCCAATACAAGCACCAGTGTTTTCGTAACACTTATAACCATGCCTTCCAGTGTTCAGTGAGGAATTACCATCTGTGGCTACAGTGTGCTCCCCTCACCATGCCCCAGTGAATGCTGATTCAAGCATTGTTCCCAAAAAGGAGAAGGACGAGAAGAACTTCAAAAATAATCTTAGAGAAGGGTGTGCCTGGGGGGGGGAAGTATGATGAGAATGCCGGGAAACTGAAACTGTGCTGGAACTTGCTTTGACGTTTGTTGAGCTTGAGGACTTCTGTCACTGGTGTGACCCAAACCTGTTTTTAAAGTCTTTGCTTGGCTGGGTGTGGTGGCTCATCCTGTAATCCTAGCACTTTGGGAGACTGAGGCTGGAGGATTGCTTGAGGTCAGGAGTTTGAGGTTACAGTGACCTCTAATGACACCACTGCCCTCATGTCTGGGCAACAAAGTAAGACCTTGTCTCAAAAAAAAAAAAAAAATAAAATAAATAAATAAATAAATAAATAGGTTTTGTTTTAGCCTTGCTGGCCTCTGAATTACTTGCATTCTAGAACATGTGTCTTGAAATGATGAGCTCGAGTGGTCTCCTTAGCTATTCTGAGTAATGTGAAGAGCATTATTTTGTCAGAAATGGGGGAAAACCCCGGCATCTTCTGCCCACACATCAGATACTATTTTGGTCGTCTTTCGTAAGTATTTTTCAGACTACAGGTCATGACTAATGGGTTGTAAAGTCGATTTCTGGATCACAACCAGCATTACAAAAAATATAGTCAGGTAGAAAATATCAAAGAGTATTGTACATAGTAAGAGGAACCTTGGTTTTGGTGATACACAAATACTTGACCATGCATGTATGTTCGTGCGTTTGTGCACATGTATGCCTGGTGGGCAGGTTTTAAAGGCAATGACTTAGGTTTTGCGATATGTTGAGATCTGACTTGCTTTCTAAAATTCTGTAAAGCTCTCGGTGATTCCTCCTCATCCCTGTCCTCAACTTTGTCTCTGGCTTTTCCAGGAGGGACCCGGGAGATCGGCTCTGCTCTCACCAGGATGTGCATGCGCCACCGGAGCATCGAGGCCAAGCTGAGGCAGTTTTCCAGGTGAGGAGTGCATTTCACCCCAGCCTCCAGCACCCTTCTGAGTTCAGGTTAAGGAAACTGATACGGCATAACTCACCTTGAGCAGTGCTAACTACCCCACAGTATATAAATCCCACAACCTTTCCCCTAGCTTGGTGCCTTTATTAAATGAGTATTTGGGGACATCTGCTATATTCCTGGCACTGGTCTGGGCACTTGGGACACAGCAGAGAACTAGACAGCTGGGTCCCAGCCCTCACGGTAGCCCACACTCCCCTTCGAATTGTCTCTGTGTGCCTGCCTGCGTCTCTCCTCATGTTCCAGCAGCATGAGGAGCTGGTGCACCCCGCTGGGGTGGGGCAGTCTGGGCCCCACTCTCACAGGAGCCTTTTAGAAAGAGGGGCTGCAGGATCAGAGTGTACGGAGTGCCACGCCGTCCTGTGCTGTGGGCCCTGTGTGCTTCCTCCAGACCCTCCAAGAGGACTGTGGCAGCTCACAGAACCGTCCACCCTGCCAGCTGCCTGTCAGCCTGCAGGCTCCCCAAATGGGGTGAAATAGCGGTGGCTGGGATTTAGAGTCACCAATGTTCAAGTGAAAATGGACATTTGTTTCCCTAGCCTATCAGCATTAATTCATCAGTCTCATCCAGTTCCATTTGGGATACTGCATAAAACAGAGAAGTGCCCTTGGAGATGCCTTCACCCCTCCAGGAGCCGGCCAGGCAGCTTGAGAATGTTCTGGGTCTCTCCATTCTTCTCTTTCTCTGGGCTGTGCATGTATGTTTATGACTTAGAATCCTGCACACACATCAGAACCTAGTGGGTCTTTCTAAAAATAGTAATACAGAGGCCTCAGCTTCAAAGTCTCCATTCGGGATGATGTAAGGCCCGGGTCTTCGCCTCTTGGTGGTTCCCATATATGCAGGCAGAGGGGTGACCCCAGTGGTTCTACACTCGGCTTGTTCATGAGAGACTGGAACAGTCATGTTGACAGTTTCTTAGAGTCACTGAAAAGCGTTCTGAGAACAAATCTGCTGCCAGGCTGGGGCCTTAGACGTAAACATCAGCTTATTACACTGCCTTTCTTGCTTCAGGTAATTGCGATTTAGGTATGTGTTTACAACCACATGTAAATCTGGACAACAGAAGGCATCTGTTCAATTTCTCTCTTTTTCTTTTTCTCTCCCATTTGGTAAAAGCGCTTTAATTGATTGTCTGATAAACCCACTTCAAGAACAGATGGAAGAATGGAAGAAAGTGGCCAACCAGCTGGATAAGGACCACGCGAAAGGTACGGGGCGGCATCTGACAACAGGGGCGGCATCTGACGCTTTGTCCCGCTCTGGGCGGTGCTGTGGGAAGGACGTTGCCTCTGCTGGGTTTCCTGGCTCACCTGCAAGCTGAGGGCCCGCCCTGTCCCTGCTGCTCCAGTAGGCTCTTCAGCGTCAGGATAAGGACGACAGAGCGGTGTCATTGCAGGACTGAATTCAGTTTCTTTGTAGGAACCATCACTCAGCACTCAGTGCCATTAATTGTAGTCAGCCGAATTAAAGGGGAATTGTAATGACAGCTTTAAATGCCAAACATTCATACATAAGGCATTTAAGTGTATTTTGAAAACTAGACTTTTAATGACATAATCCTACCCTGGGTTTCCTGCCCAGAACTGGCCATTCTTTTTGTGTATTGTCTTGAGTAGGTGAGACGAGTCTTTGTGAACTGGTTTAGTTAGTTGTCAGGGACCTTGATGGTATGAGAAGGCACGAGGTGTAATTTGTGGAGGAAGCAGCACTGATATGCTCAAGCGAGTGCTTTGTGTTCCCTTTACATAGGCCAATGAGACTGCTGGGTAAGAAGCTCTAATCCCCTGTTCAGGTCGTGCTGATGATTTTTACATACTTTTACCCTTCCCTCATTTCTGCACTGACAGCCATTGAACTCTGTCCCATCCCTGGGCACTCCCTGGGGCCACAAAGATAAATAAGTTGATTGTGCCTTTTGGTGCATGTCCATTAATATTTGTTAATCACAGAAGATAGGCTCCTGTAGTTGTGTCTTCATTGTTACTGGAAATGAGTCTTAAGTAGAACTTCATCAACCATTTTAATTAAAGACCCAGGAATGGCAGTGACTTACATTGAGATTCAGAAGTAGGGGTATAATAGATGGATATTTAGCAATTATGGAAAAAAGTTCATGTAAAAATCTTTTATTTCTCCTACCTTAACTTGAAATTAAGGAGAGAGGCAAATTCAAAGGATTAACTGCCCCACTGTGTATTAATCAGGTTATGGGTTAATCAGGGTTGTCTTCTCTTAAGTTCACTGGATTTGACCATTTGTACTTTTCATTTGATAAAAGAAAAGGGAAACATTTGAAATTTTTTTCAGATGGGCAAAGACTTGATAGTTTACATTTGGCCCAATTAACTTCGCTCATTTATTTCGTTTATTAAATGTTCTTATTTGATCTGCAGCAAAGCTGATTTTATGGCAGGGACTTCCAAATTGGATGTGTAGCACTTTTTATAAGAGTGGCTGTGCTGAGCCTCTGGAGAGAAGGCAGCGGGTCTCTCAGGGAGCCCTGCTCAATCTCTACTCGTCCAGTAAAACAAAGGTCCAATTTTAATGGTGTATACCCTCCCCTCCCACTAAGTGCTCACAGAGAAATACTTCTTAGTTTTTTTCCTTAGGTTTCATATGCAGAGACTAAGGCAGAGGCTATGTCAGAATGTGAATCAAGACCTGTTGTCAGACCCCACACACCTGCTAAGGGGTCCCACACGAGGCAGAGGCCAAGAGGTCATGAGGGTACAGAGCCCCTGGCCCCCAGCTATTGTGGCAAAGCCCTTCTTTTATCTTTGTAAGTCAGCGTTAACTCAGTGAGCAAGTGCCAGGTAGCAGCCACACACACCCCACTCTGCTAGAACGCAGAACATGGAGTGGGAGAGTGTGTATGTGCCCCAAGGGCCACCACGGAAGAGCACGCGTTGGGTTGAGGGATTAGGAGGTGCTGTTTGTTGGAAGCCTGATGGATGGATGTGATTCCATCACCCTGAACTTGGGCCTCTGAGAGGTGTCCTAGCAAGAGGGAAAGCCATACAGAGAAGCAGGGCAGATGGGGCGATGGCTGGAAAAGAGCAGAAAGCTGCCCTCAGGGCTTCAGTCCATCCTCAAAGGCTTTGTGTGTCAAGGCGGAGGAGTCTGGGACTGGACATGGGAGTGGTGGCCGGGCTATAGCACTCCCTGTTTTTGAACAGGGAAGTGGACAGGAAAGTGAACAGTTTCACTTTAGGAGAACTATTCTGGCTGCAGTTCATTTATGCTTTGCACAAATGCTCTCCGTGCCTTGTGTGCCAGGCTCTGTGCTAGGCTTTGAGGACTGAGTAGTCTAGACAGACACAACTCTGTCTTCATGGAGCCAAAGTTTGGGAGTGCTGGTGGTGTAGCAAGGGTGGGAAACATCACTCCAAGGATCTCATGACCTGCGTGTGGGTAGAGCGAAGGAGAAACTGGGGAGAGAGGAGGAGTTGGCTGAAAGGCAGCTCTAAGAGCGTGTAAATGGCACTCCGACAGGCTTGGGGCCAATGGAGGGGAAGCGTCAGGCTGGCTGCGAGGGAGCCATCCAGGTGAAATGTATAGCAGCTGGCAGTTAGTTGACTGTGAGGGCAGCAGAGGAGAGGGGCGTTAGAGGTGACTGGCATCTCAGGTGTCTGTGTGTGGATGGTGCATCGTGATGGGCGCAACAGAAATGGGGAAGTCTGGGCACGAGCTGGTGGGGGAGAGAGCGCGGTTGGCGGGGTGGGGTGCTCATGGGCTCCCCTCTCCTTGCTACTCACGGTGTCTGGCCGGGGGATTGATGGTGAAAGTGAGGCATCTGGGGCTTGCCAGTTTTTTTCCCCATGTGATCTAGTTTCACTAGGGACACTCTTCTGAATTACAACATCTAGCCAGCATCTTTCCCACCTGGGGTTGGTTCTCTTTTGAGCAAGGCTCTGTGGATTTGGGCCTTGGAATAGTAGATAATATTGACAATCTTTCTTGATACTTGAACTGAGGAACTATGGGTTATTTTTTTTATTAAAATAATCCCAAATGAAGTCTTTTCTCAAATCTGGCAACGGGAATGTGGCAGGGAAAGAGCATCATGTGTTTTGTAGTTTTTCATGTCAGTAGCCTCTTAGTTAGAAAACGTCATCATGATTCTGTAGTCCAACAAAGCCATTTGTTGCTTGTCACAGTTTATGTTTTCTGTGAAGGAGGAAATGGCTTTTTCTAAAATAATTCTCTGTTGGGCAAAATGGTAAAATTATTTAATTTTCTACTTTCTTTTAGAATATAAAAAAGCCCGCCAAGAGATAAAAAAGAAGTCCTCAGATACACTGAAACTGCAGAAGAAAGCAAAAAAAGGTAACTCCTAAAATTCTGCTAATGCTGTTGTTACTTTCAGAAAAAATAAATGCGTGCTTGACTGATCTTTGAAGGAGAAGGTTTTGAATTCTTAGACTCCCTTGTGTCTGAAGGACCTGGAGAACAGACAGGAGCTAACAGAACCTATGTGGATTAGTCTTCAGAGGGCAGAATAGGTATTAAGTCAAAGCCCTTGCAAAGTAGAACGTGACTTGTTCCTTCCCCCACCTTTGTCTTCCAAGTTTGACAGTTTTTCCACGTCTATTGTGCTTTGTAACGAAACCTATAAATTTCTTGGAAGCTTTGGGATAATGCAAAAAAGGCTTTATGCAAATGTTCTATAGTAATTATTATAGAAATTATGTCATTTCCTCCTCCAGCTTCTACAGCCTATAATCTCTGAAACCCTTTATTAAGTCTTGTGAGGATGTTATCATAGAAATGGCTGCAGGGGGAGTCAGGAGTCGTTGCCATGTGTGGGGGTTTCACGGTGTTCGTGAAAGCAGGGCTCCATAACTCACTGCTGAAGAGAACCAGGCTGGTGCAAGACACCCCTTTTCCCCATTCATTGTTATATTGTCGGTCACTAACCAATGAATTGCCAGATCATTGTCCCACCTTTGTTCTTCCAGAAGGGACCATGAGTTTAAGGAAAAAAGAAAAATCTAGCCACACCCACTTTGCCAGTATCAGAACATTTTACTAAGACCTAAAATGTAGGGACTTTCTTTTGAGCTGGAGGAGATGACATTCCTTCCAGATCCTAGTATTTTAATCTGCTGCACCCGAGTGATAAAATGGACTCTTCCCAGCAGGCTGCTCTGTGGGTTGTGTTGAGCATTAAGCTGGGACAGCAACCTTTTCAGGGAGGCCTCCCCAAACTGAAGTTTCTTCTTTCCTAAACAAGCAGTTATTTAGAATTAAAAGAAAATATATTTGGAGGGGCAGTGTGGGCAGTGGGGTGATGATAAGACAGGGTTTTTAAGCTTTGAAATTTCTAAAAAAAGGCCCTCCCACCCCAATTCCCACAAAAACCATAGCCCATTTCAAGCTAAAGGCAGCAGAATTTTCAACTACAATCATATTTTCTTTCCATATTGGCTCCAACAGTTTCTTTTGAACATGTGGGTTTTATTTGGCGGGGAGTTGTGTTGTTTTGTTTGTCTGGTGCTTCTCCAATTATATTCTTTTTAACTAGGGCACCTGGGAGCTAGTGTTTGACAAGCAATAGGGCTTGTGGCCAGTAACATGTTAGTGAGTCTAGAGGTATAAATGAAATCACTACCATATTCCATCAACTCTGAGGCCCCCTGAAGAGCAGGCTGGTCAAAATTTGGTGCTGAACTCCACCTAATGGACAGTTTGGCAGCTTTGAAATAGGAAGGATTAATGGGCTTGGGGACATGGTCCAGGGAAGATGCTTGGGCTTGGAATAGGTTTGGGAATTTGGGAAAAGAGTAGAGTTAGGAAAAGGAGCTATTTTCTCTCAGTCCTTCCAGCCTTTTCAGAGGCCTTGAGTTTTTGGCTACCGCGGTGATCCTTTTATCTACATTCTGCATGGAGGCTGAGATGGTCCTGGTCTGTCACTCAGAGTCACTGGCGTTATCCAATTAACAGAATTTGGACCTTTTGGGTGAAGCCCGATAGGCTGATTGCAGTGCAGCATGAAAGGAACCTTCCGGCTGGGGCTGTAGACAGGATAATGAGCTCCCCCATGGAGGCAGGTTGGAGAGATACTGGATTGCGTGTAACGTGAAGAGATGCTTCTGGCCACAGGACTTGGGAATAATTGGTATTTAGCTGTGAAGTTTTGGGGGGTCCTTGGGCCTGAGGGCTGAGAGAGCTGTTATCAGGGGTTTCTGAAGCATCTGTCTTCCTAGCCCATCTTCATACCGGCAGTCTCAGGTACCGGGTCCTTTCCACAGGTGTATTTACGTCTCTAAGATCAGTCAGTTCAATAGCTCAGAATGTTCTGGAGATTTTCTAGTTGCTTCAGAGTACAAGCAGAAAACAATTTTTACTTCTCTCTTTTACAAAAAAAATTTTCAAAAATAGAAGTGTGTTTTTTGGCCCAGCCACTCATATTTGTCTATTTCTGGGTGAATATAGCCTTCTAGAAGGTACCAGACTCATCATCCTGACTGGACTCCTGCTATAGAATGCTCCCCTGGAGGGCCTATGGCCTGAGAATGGATTGAAACCACCAAGATTTAAGGGCCAGAAAAATTCTGGTCATTTGAGGCTTTCATTTGTTTGGGGATCTGGTTAGTTGAAGTTTCCTTTTTAGCTAGAAAACCTCTTGAGGCAAGGTCTTAGACTCTTGGCTTATAAAAGTGGTAGTCTGTTTCTTCTGAGATGTACACCATATATTAGGAGAGAGGAAGCCTTTGGATACATTTTTGGTGTGTCTTGATAAAACTGAAATCTGATTTACACAGCCAGATAATCACTTCCTTTTTAATGCATTTTCAGGAGATTATCAGGCAGCTTTCTGCCATGCCTTTTCCAGAAACAATGATCTTTGATCTAAAAATTCTTCTGCCTCTCTTTCAAAATTCCAAATGCCTTTGTGCACTTGGCTGTGGTTTTAGGGTCCCCCGGTGGGGGCGCACACACACACACACACACACACACACACACACACAGGCTGTGATTTTAGTGAGCAGCTCATCTACCTTACTTCTTACTCTACAGATAATACCTTCGATCACATTCTTTATTTGATTTTTTTTGCTATAAAGAAAGGTCATTTGTGATCTAAAGGTATCTAAATATTTTCATCCCAAAACATTTAATGGTTTGCCTCTTACTAGGTTTTATCTTAGAATCATTATAAAGCACCTCGGGATGTGCTCCAGCTGTGGATGAATGTGCCCAGAGAGAGGCGGGGGCTAGAGAAGCAATCCCCACCTTCAGAGAAGTTTTGGGTGTGTGCACAGGGTCGACACAGAGTCATGGGTACAGGGTCAAGGGCAGAACTCAGAGCCAACCTTGCTTCCAAGGGGAGGAGCAGAGGCAGCAGGATGTTGAAGAAAAGGACCCACCCAGTAGCCTATGGAATCTGACGCCAGCTCACTGACGTTGGGTCCTTGAGTTGATCACGTCTCAGCTGGGGAAGGAAGAGAGGATCAGAAATGAGAGACATTCTGTGCTATTTACCTACTTTTGCCACCTTCCTGTACAGAGTCAGCAGCCTTCTCATTTCACTAACTCCCATATTATTTATTTATTTATTTGCGACAGAGCCTCGCTATGTCACCCTTGATAGAGTGCTGTGGCATCACAGCTCACAGCAACCTCAAACTCTTGGGCTTAAGCAATTCTCTTGCCTCAGCCTCCCAAGTAGCTGGGACTACAGGTGCCTGCCACAATGCCCAGCTATTTTTTTGTTGCAGTGGTTTAGCTGGCCCAGGCCGGGTTCAAACCCGCCACCAATTTAAGTGGAAAATATGGCAGAGCTTTCTGTTTTTATCTGTGAATTAATAAAAGTATATCAGGATTTTTTTTTTTTTTTTTTTTACAATAATGGCTAATATATATCAGGTGCTTATCATGGCCATGTGCCACTTACTACCATTAAGTATTAAATCTAAGAAGTCTTTGGTTTCTTTTTTTGAGATAGCATTTTGTGGTGTTGCCTAGGCTGGTCTCAAATTCCTGGGCTCAAGTGATCCTCCTGCCTCAGCCTCCCCGGTAGCTGGGTTGCAGGTGCATGCCAATGGGACTTTTTTTTTTTTTTTTTTTTTTTGAGAGCAGGGACTGGGACATTGTAGTATGTTAACCAATAAGCTGACATTTAAATAGCTGAATATATCATTTTTCACTGGAGGCTGCAAACACAGTAATACAAATGCGTAAACAGACTCAGAGTTTTTTACCAACAGAATATTTGCTGTTGTACTAAAATTTTTAATTCTTTAACTTTTTTCTTCATTCTTATCCATCCTTAACTTTGTTTCCTAGATTTCCTAGATAACTTTCCAAGTTAAGATACATTATACTCAAAGATTTTCTTGTTAAAGCATCTGAATGGGCTTCTGGACATAGATTCTTCATCTCATTTAAAAAAATCCTTGCTATATTCTCTAGGGGTGATAACTGCTAACTAGGAAGATTTCTGTTTAGAGGAGAAGGAAAGGAATTTCTGTTTAATGAGGCAGGAAAGGGGAACTTGGATGTCCAGCTCTTGGCGGATGTGGGGCTAATCAGCCCTACTATAAAGTTTGGCAGTGAACCACAGACTGTTGAACACACCAAACAAAGGTAAGACCGCTGCTGTTCGAATACCAGTTTGACTTTATTATTTTCCTTTTTGTGTCAATTGTGTATCCTGCACTTTATCACCGTGCGCCACCCCCGCCCAGTGGACGCTTTCGGTAAGTCTACCATCCCGAATCTCTGGTGGCTGGTCACGGTGTGGTCCTTGCTGTGGGCTTTCCGTGGTTGTCCAGACCTGTGCTAGTTGCCCAAATTTTCCTACCAGCTCAGAACTATCCATTGTGCCTACTTAATTTTCTATAACTTTAAGAAAATTTTGTGTGTGTGTGTGTGTTTTAATCATTTTCCTCCTTGGATGTTTGGCCATTTAAAGTGTTAGCACGACATACTGAGAGCCTTTGCAACATCATAATTCAGTAGACTCATGGAAAAAAGAAATACAGAGTGATTTAAACTGTCCTTTCCACAGGCAGTAAACATTTACGCATACATATATGTCTGAGTATATATGTATGTGTGTATTTATGCCACAGGCAAAACATATAAAGCTACACGTCCTAAAATAATTTGCACGTGGAATTTGGTTGTATTAAGCTTGTAAACCATCTTTGACTTTGTCCCTTTGGACCATATACTGTAGTTCTTTTCAAAACGAAGAATTTATATCTTTAAAAAATGAGAAGTATTTCTTATTTCAGTAGAGTGTGTGAAATGTTTCATTTCAAAGATACCACATCTTCAAATTCAATCCCCCAAATGATTCTTCCTGATTGAAGGTTGAGCCTCACTCTGTGGGTAACTGTGCTACTAAAACCTGAAGTCGCTTTTGCAGTCTCGTTGCTGTGCCTCTGTTGAGGACGGTCTGTCTGTGAGGTGTCCATGTGGTTCATCTTGCCTGAGTGTGAACATTCTACTGAATGGGTCCAAAGAGGTTTTTGAATTGAATTCTGTCATCCCCAACAGACCTGATGTACTTGGGTCTCCTCTGTCATGTGGGGCTGGGGTGGTTCCAACTCTGGGGGAGCACAGTCCTGCCTCTGTTTGTTCTCACGGTGACATTGGGATACTCATTCCCTAACTTTAAATATGATGATCCTTTCTAGTTCTCAGTACTGTGATTATGAAACAGCTTGAACAATTTCTATCTTTTTAAATCTTTGGAAGGAAGGTAAGACATAGCCACTTTTTTACTTACTGCAGAAAAATTCACATAACAAAACATAGCATTTTAACCCTATTGAAGTGTACATTTCAGGGGCTTTTGGTACATGCACAGTGTCATGTAGCTATCGCCGCTGTCTAATTTCAGAACATTTGCATCATCCCCAGAAGACCCTTCATGCCCTTGAAGCAGTCACTGGCTGTTTCCCACCACCCCAACCCTCCCAGCCCCTGACAACCACTCATCTGCTTTCTGTCTCTGGATTTCCCTGTTCTGGGCATTTTATATAGATGAAAGCATATAACACATGGTCTTTTGAGGACACTGTCTTTTGACTCTTGAGTTTTATTGGAACCTTTACTGAGAGCCTGGCATGAGTCGGTCTGTGGAATAAATGGGGCATTGTTTATTTGAAATGGTGGCAAGTAAGTTTGGAATAAATGAAGAAACCATATAGCCTCTTGCTTTTGTATCTTCCAAAGATTCTGCTTATCTTTTTAAAAACAATGTTTTTGTAGAGATGGGATCTCACTGTGTTGTCCAGGTTAGTCTCAAACTCTTGTCCTCAAGCAGTCCTCCTGCCTCAGCCTCACAAAGTGCTGGGATTACAGGTGGGAGGCACCAAACCCAGCAGATTCTGCTTATCTTTCAAAGGAAAATTTCGGCAGCCCCTTTTTGCTTTCTCTTCTGTAGGGGCTGGTTTGTAGGGCTAAACCACAATGAATTTGGAAATAAGCACATACGAAAAGCTGCATGGTTTGACGTTCTCATAATTTGAAAAACATATATAAAAAGAGAGAGAGAAGTAATTATTTTCAAAAATTGGGTTATACAATTGTGGGAGATAGCAAGTCCAAAATTCGCAGGGTAGACTGGCAAGCTGGAGACTCAGGGAATGGTTGATGTTACCATTGTTATACTTTTTAAAAAAGTTTTAGGTCATTTTTGTACAGGTTGAGTGTCCCTTTTTGGAAATGCTTATGACCTGAAGTGTTTTGGACTTGGGAATATTTGCATATACATAATGAGCTCTCTTGAGGATGGGACTCAAGTCTAAGTATCAAATTCATTGAAGTTTCCTATTTACCTTATAGACATGGCTTGAAGGTAATTTTGTACAATATTTTTAATACTTTTATGTATGAAACAAAAGTCAAGACTGCATTTTGACTGCAGCCCATCACATGAGGTCAGACGTGAGATTTTCACTTGCATTGTGATTTTCATGCTCAAAAAGTTTCAGACCTTGGAGAATGTCAGATTTTGGATTTTGGGTTAGGGATGTTCAACCTGTATTTGAAAAAATCTACATTCGAACAATGTCTCATGAGAGTTAAAATGTTCTGGTTTAACAGCAGGAGACAGAAATATATACATATATGGAACTCACCTTTGGTCTGCTTAGAGCTATTTATCTTGAACCACAGGTCCCTGCAGAAGCAATGCCTAGGGTTCTCCACATGGAAGGAATTTATAACTTAGCAACAATGTGTTGAGACGGGGAAGGGCTGTACAGTTCCTGTGAGTAACTTCGATGCTCCTGAACTCAGTAGTAGTTTAATCTGACGTGCTCCTTGCTGTGATGAGCATAAGCAAAAGGTATAGCTTGGGGCAGAGAGGGAGGAACCCAGCCAGGCTTGGGGTTGGGGTAGTGAGATTAAGGATGAAAAGGGGTAAGTTGGAGGAGGATGGCCAGGGGGCATCAAAGCACAGGGGACAGTATGTGCTGAGATGTGACTATCACTGCTTGGGAGCACCAGAAGCAGTGGTGGAGAGTAGACATGTCACAGAGGGGTACCCAAGGGGCAGGCCGCCAGGTCCCACCAAGGATGAACTCTATACATGGAGAACCACAGTGGCTCAAACCACTGGTTTCCTGGACAGTGCCCTCCATGATGACCTGCTAGGAAGGCTCATGGGGTCATACAAAAGGAGGGTGCTCAGCCAGACTCCTTCCCTGTGTGAAAGCAGGGGTGGCACAATTTTAACTTTTAGACCTAGTGTGACAATTGGGAAGCCTTTCCTGACCTGAATCAGTGAGGACCTTTGAACTTAACCCAGAAAGCTCCTGCTAAGGGATGTAGCATTTCAGATGAATGCACATAGCCTCAGAGACTGGGATGTTTGTTAGATGGATTTCACACCTGCAGATTCAGGGCAAAAACAAGCCAGATATCCACCAGAGGCCCAGAGCTGTGAACTCTCTTCCTTTGCCCAGCTAGTCTCTGGTAAAGCCTCACAAGACGCAGCTTGAGTGCCTTGCCTGTGACTTTGGGCTCAGATGTCCTGAAGTGTCCCTATGCAGGATGGGACCATTGTCAAGGTACATTGCACCTGGTTCAGCAGCCAGGGCCACAGCAGGGGCCGAGGGCCCAGATACAAAACAACAGAGAATTAAAACACCTTGTTTGAAATATTGATTTCTTGCATCATATAGTTTTCTTCTCCCTGGACAACACTAAATGGATGGTGTGGAGTGTGACCAAGGGGCAGGATGGGAAAGCAATTGCGGCCTCTCTTGAGTTGCCCTGTTTCACAAGACTAATTGATTGGCGTCTGGTGCCATTCTTCCACTCACAAGCCTTCTTCACTAGTTCATTTATTCATTCATGCATTTGTTCAGGACATAGCACCTCCTCTGTGCTGGACTCTGGTGACTGCTAAGGAGGTGAGGGCAGCCTCTGCCCTTCACTCGTCCCCAGGAGGGCAGATGCATATGTGTTCTAACATCAATTCTGTGACCCTGGTTAGGTGTCCTACAATTCAGTTCCATTCTGGCACTAGCTGGAGTTCATGTAGCCCCCACAAAGTAAAGGCTCAGTCCCACAAGACTACCCCAGCTGGCCCTCCTCATTTCTGCTCAGCAGACCACAAATTTGGGGTTTCCTATGACCCCTTCCCTCCTCTAGTTCGATAATTGACTAGAAGACTCCCAGGTCACAGGAAAGCACTTACCCTGTGGTTACTGACTTGCTGTGAGGAGCGCAGCTCACAGCCTTGTGTACCATGCTGGAGACGTGGCTTTTAGGACTCTGCCGAAGCCCTGGAGGAATTCTTGGCTTCTAGATAATTTCATGACAGTGTGTATTTGGCTTAGACTGTGGCTTCACTGGAGATCCAGTTAACAAGTGGCTGTTGTCGAGGTGAGAGATGATGATGCTTGGAGTTCAGGGAAGTGGCCACCAGATAGAGAGTCAAGGACTTTTTAGGAGAGATTTAAGTCAAAGGCAGAGATGTTGAGGTGATGGCAAGTTTCGGATCAGGCACGCAGGCTGCAGATGGTAGAGTTTCTTTAACCACAAAGGAAGAAACATTTTGGAATCCTGAGGATTCTCTGTTTGAGACACTCCAGGTGGGGAGCTGCAGGGCAGCGTGGAACATTTTTTCTCGTTGTTTCCTGTCTCTTCTTATCCTTTGCTTTGATGAGCAGATGATTGCTCAGGGACTAGTGAAGCATCTTGGTGATGAAATAAATACCTTTAGTGTGGGTGTTTAGAATTATAGGATCTTTTGCATTTCCTTACATCAAAGAAGACCTTGAACTGAAAGCAATTTAACCCCTGCCCCCTGCGTACTTATCCCCTGCTAATGTCCTCAGCTAATCTCAGAAGGACGGCTTCAGAGATGCTGCCCTGGAAGCTGATAGCACCTGCCGCCTACTGAGTGCTCAGCACATGCCAGGCACTGTTCTGAACACTTGATGTGGATTAATCCCTTTGCTTTCACATCAACCATGTGAGCAAGGTGCTGTTATTATGTACATTTCCCAAGTAAGGGGAAATTGGGAGCACAGTGGGATGAAAAATAACAAGAAATTGAGTTCATTTGAAAAATGTTAAAGCTGAAGGACATTAGTCTTGTCTGATCAAATCTATCTTTCTTTTGATTCCCGATTTTATTTTTTAGTGAAATCAAAGAAAAACTGCTGTGAGAGTGGTGCCCGTAGCTCAAGGGGTAGGGCACTGGCCATATACACCCAGACTGGTGGGTTTGAAC